ATGGATGGATGGATGGATGGATGGATGGATGGATGGATGGATGGATGGATGGATGGATGGATGGATGGCTTCCAATCAAAAGAAATGTGATCTGAAATTTAAAAGAACTTGTAAGGAAGTAGGGAAATCCTGATTGGTTTTAATTTTCAATAAAAATGTAAATTGTGCCATGCATATGGATTTAGCCTCCAGTCTAACCCATTGTTATCAGTATTTACTCCAGAATGTGTTTTAATCTTAGAATAAATCACCCTTCTGTGAAGCCTAAAGAGTTTTTTAGAGATTAGTGAACAGACCGTTTTTATGGAGACGAAGGAACACCAGAGAAACAAAACCACAATATCAAGTTGTTAAAATCATCCCCACAGTGTAACAGAGTAACACTTCAGTCGGTATAAATACTTTTGTAAGGCCCTGCACGTCTCTAAGGTTCATTTTCCGAGGGGCGTGTGACGTCAGTGACTTCTCTCTTCTCCTGTGAAATCAAAGAATAATTTATATTTTAATTACATCCCAGTATACTGCATTCTAAATTATTACACATATAGCCCTCATCGATTACAGTAAATCACCTGCAGGTGGCTTAAAATGTGACTACAAGGATGCTGAGCAGTACAGAACAGAACTCATAATTCCTGTTGTCCGCTTGCTCGGGCTCTCGGTTCACCTTCAGTTTCAATTTAAAACTTGGCTGACTGCCTTTATGGCTCTGAAGCACCAAGCTACTTCTTTTATCTTGAGCTACATTTAGTCAATCTAGTAATAAATCACTGTTACACCTCCTGAATGGAAAGAGCAACTTTGCATTCCTATTCTAATCCCTTTTTTTGTATTTGTTTTGATCAGCTTGAATAATGATAACATTTGTGTCAAAGACAACCTAACTTCAATAAATAAGTTGGATATAATATAATGCACCAATTAAATAATAAAGTAAGCAATGAGAAAAAAGCATCAGTAGCAATCATGAGTACAAGCAAAATTAAACGCCAATTAAAAACCAGAAAAGCAGATGCAATCTGAGGTCACGGAAAACACGTAGCCTAATTGATGAAGTTATCTCACATGCATGATTGATTCATCATCACTGATTAAATTAATATCCTGAAATATTCCCTTTTCAATATTGAAGTATCAACCCGTGTCCGGAAGTTCACACAAAAACACCTGAAAATTTAACAGAACTGTCAGTTTTTTTATTTCAAAGGGCTTTAAAATGTAATATTTTCAATGAAATAACAAACAGTTCTGGGCTTTAGCAGGATCTTTAACTAACAGTCTAAAGTTATAATGAAGAGGTGAACAAAAATCTGTTTGCAGCTTTGATGGCTTGTGATGTCTGTGTGTAATTCACATATCTTTGATTTGGAAATAGCTTTTTCCACCAATATAATCACTAATTAAAGTGATTTCACCTCTCATATTTAGACATAGGCTGCATGACATTTTTTCAGCTTTTCTTTTTATAATAATATCATATGAAAATGCTGTAGGACTTCATCCCAACCAGATGATTTAAGGATGTTTTCTATTTGAAAAACAAGCTACTTTTTAAACATCAGTAAAAAGATATATGGGGATCTCCTCTTAATCAATCAGCTCTTATCATTCAGCAGTTTCCCTAATTCTCCTTTACGAACTTACATATTAGAAAAGTTGATATTTATCGATTGTGTGAGCATTTATAAAACAGCACCTATATACTGTAGACTGTTTCTATATAATGTTTTGATTAAAGGTTTAGCATCCATTCCAGTCTGTTCAATGTACCGATAAATCATCTCTTTACAAGTAATCTATGAACCACAGGGTTCACAAATAAAACCTGCCACATTTGGACAAGAGTGTGATGTAATAAATGATCTGCTTTGTCGGTTATTTTTTCTGGAATACTAGAATAATAGAACTTTGCTTCAGTAGTAATAAAAAACAGCTTTAATCTCTAATATCATGTCAAATCTGTCTGATTCTTACTTCAAGACTGGATTTTTAAATTTCAACTTTACAGGAATAAAAACATATACAACAAAAATCGGCACTGAAGAGAATTAAAAAAAGAGGAAAAAGTATTCTTCCAATTTTTAATTTCTCTGCTCCGGATTCATGTGAAATCCATATAGTTTTAAGCTCTCCGACACCCTGTCTAATTCAAGAGAGCTAAAAGGCTGTCCTTCTTGACAGAATTAACAAAGTGGCTTTTGTTTTCCCTGGATTCATTATCTCTATAGTTGTGTTGCCCTAGGGTCGAGCTGCTGGTGGAGATTCACGATCTTCCCTCTATTGTCCTTCATAAATTTGATGCAATTATTCCTGCCTTTTAGTTCATGTTCTTTTTCTCTCTTACTTTATAGGTTTAACCATTATCTGAGCTATGCAGATAGTGCCCTTCTGTTCTCCACCTGTAGATGGCGCACTCAGGCCTCTCTGTCTTTGTAGATGCCTGCAAAGCCAATAACTTTGTATTATCAGCTGGTCTTCCTTAGATAGGCAACATTTAGTAGATTGACTTCAAAGACTGAATTTGATTGAACTGCCTTATAAGTGTGATTAAATTAAGCTGTAATCCCATTTGAATCCATCTGATTGAATGATTGAATTGATTCAACGTCTCTGCTTATAACTTTAAATTGTTTGTGGTGCAAAATACCTTTAGATGTTATTTTCTTTCAATTGGTTTCAGTATGAAGAAACTGAAATAAATATGAATGAGATGAAACTTTAACTTTAACACCAGTACTGTGCTTCTCCCGCATTACCTTCAAGTTTAAAAGAATTGACATGAGAATATTTGCATAGAGAATAAATTCCAGCGGAGTTATCCAAGGTTAAGACGGGGATGTTCAAGGTCCACAAAGAAATCAGTCCACAAGGAAGCCAGATACAAACACAGTCAGTAAAAGTGTTCCATGACCTTTATTTAAAAAAAGCACACACACGGGAGGCAGGCAACATGGGTTAAAGGCTGTTTATTGTCTGCAGGCACAAAGAATTTTGTTATGGATATGAAAGGAATTAAATACTGTTGTTCTTTTCTTGGAACTAATTCTTGCATGCAACCCTGGAAAGAGCTTTTTTTTGCACTCTGTCAGAGAAATATGAACAGGGAGAACCAATGATTGATTACCGAGGGTTTCTGAAATATGAAATGACCTTGCTGGTGAACTCTGTCCCTTTTTTAAACCCTTTTAGGAGAAGTACTAACTTGTACACTATATAAAGGCCTTAACTTTTGACTTATAAGATACAGTCTTATTCATTGTCTGTTTCTATTAGTTTTTTTCTTTGTTTGAAGTCTAATTTCATTGATTAAACAAAAGGTATTAACCAGAAAAAAGTGTGCTGTGAAACTTTTTTGTACATATGGTCTTTGTTATTAAATCATTATACCAACATTCTAGGGATATGTTGAGGTTTTTTTTTTTTGCTTGTTTGTTTTTTTGTTTTTTTTGTTAAATAAAATGCCTGTGATTTAAAAACGGTTGTATTTAATCTAAAGACCAGCTTTGAACTGCAATGTAGTTATAACTGAGATAAAGCAAGCAAATTGAGCCACCCCAAAGCTCCACCTTTAAGGGTCATGGGTAATATCAGAGTTGGCTTCTACCTCCATAAGGTGGAACATTAATACTAGGGGAATAATACTGTGTAAATAGTATGTTTATACTTTTGTTGACACAGATTTAAATATCTACCCTTGTCTACATCTCCAAATGTTCAATAATCTTACTGGTTTGACTGATCAACATTGAATGAAATGATTTGGATGTAATATTATATGACAAATAACAACTCATGAAATATGATTACTCATTTAAAGGCTGTGGTTCCTTTTTTTCCCAATGTTTGTCTATCTTTTGTCTGGCATAAGAAGAAATAGCACAGAATGAATTGCAGATCAATATTTATGTGCCCACAAGGTTTGCCTGCTTCTTTATAAACACAGAGCTATGGAAGTGCCTGCCTAACAGCTCTGTAAACAAAGGACATGTTGTTTTGGGAAAAATGAAATGTTTGTTCCCTCAGTATGCACCTTTGATAGACATGTGGGCTCATTTGTCATCAGATAAAAAACAATAGAGTGTGCATGGAAAATAAACATAGAAATTATACCATGGTTAATTAGATTTTCTCCATTTAATGGGCCATGGATGTATTTAAATTATTTTGCTGTCTGTTTAGGGAGCAACACACCTTTAAACTAATTAACTAATTTTGCTTGTAAAGTTTGTGCATGAGCTTGGAGTCATTTTTATGAATTTGAACAAGTTTATGCTAAACTTCTGTATTAAACTTTTGCTTTCTGCAACTATTCATATTTGTGCTGATATTTATTTATGTTCATTTGTGATCACATAAACATATGCATTTCTTTTAAAAACTGTACATCATTTTGCAATATTGGTTGTCTGATGAACTGATGAAAGTATCAAACTTAAAAACACAATACCAGCTGTTAAATATAGTGGAAGGAGTAAAAAAACTGCCAGACAGATGTTATTGCTGCTTAATTCTGGTGAATTGCAGAAATGAAAGTTAATAATGAAGATCCATGCAAAATCATCTACTTCACCTATATAAAACAGGTGGTTTAAAATTGGAAACAACTGTTAGTTTCCAAAGAACTATGATCCTAACCACACAATAAACGCTTTTATTTGGAATTGTCTGTGTGCTGCAAATGGAGGGTGAGTATGTCTTGAAAAATATGTTTTATTTACACGGGATCTACTTGGATAAATTAAGGTACATATGTGCATTAAACTATTTTTGCTTTGTAACAATTATATTGATTTGTTTTACAGTCTTAATATATATATTTTTTTAAGTTCGAAAAAGAAACTGACATTTCCGAGCTCAATGCGTGGTTTGAAGGCAACACGGTACACCGCCTACGGGCTCGAACGAATCACGCGAGAGCCGGGGAGGATCTCTCTTTTCTGGGAGCCGATCGGAGCCGCTCGAGAGACGCACACAGAGTTCGCTCCCTGTCTGACTGCAGCGAGCTCACCCCGCAGAGAGGCCGCTGCGGGAAGATGGCGACGGATAAACAAAAACACGAGGGTAGAGTTAAAATCGGACACTACATTCTCGGTGATACGCTCGGAGTCGGGACGTTCGGGAAGGTTAAAGGTATGCCTGCTGTTTTATCTGTGAGTCCAGGCAGCTGGAAGATGAGGGGCTATTAGCCTAGCCGCTAACTTAGCCTGCTAACTAGCTAAACTGTCGCCAGAACAGAAATGTAACGCATATATTGTCAAGTTTTACTTTCAAGAAGCTTTTTTAGAAGCGCTTTAAACCAGGTTCTAACAGCTAAATTATACAAAATAGTCACTTTACTTAATAATAATTTCTAACGCATTATTATGAGTTAGCGGTAGTAGCGCTGGGAGCTAACCCAGTGATCCACAAGTCGCTGTTAGGACTATGAAGTTAATCTCCTGTCTTCTTTTTCCTGTTTGCAATAATTCAGGTTGGGTTTGTGGGATAGTGCAAACTCCAGCCGGCCTCTTAACCTGCTTCACTGCTGAGGAAATGTTTTTATATTTGTAGAGAGAGTGGGTTTAAACCAGTTTAACTGACGCCTAGTTCGTCAGAGGACTCCCCCAGCCGTACGTGAGGTCAATAACTGAGATTATCTACTCAGTTTAGAAACATCAGGGGTTTGAGAGTTGTTATATGGGCTTTCATTTCTTATATTAGATATTTTTAAACTGAAGCTAACATCCTGAACCAACAAACTGCTCTGATTATAGTCTAATTTCCAGTGACTCATCTCTGTGGTACCTCTGTTTCTGCAGCTGATGAAAGGAAAAACACAATGCTCAGTGTAATGGAGGTGCTGCTTTTAGCTATGTTGCTTATACATTTCTATATGCATATATATATATTTTTATTCACAACCATAGTTTATGAAAAGTTTTGCTGTGCTGAAAATGTTCTTAAATGCATTAGTATAACATTTTCAAGATACTCATTTCTAGTCTCTTTGTGCTCATTGATTACATTATTTAATGTAACATTTAAGTAAAAAAGGGGATGATGTTTTGGAGGTAAAGTTTGAACTTTTGTGTTTAAAATTGCTCCCAAGCTGGGAAGCGCCTGAAAACCAAATGTTATTGCAGACCTTGCAGTTTATCAACTATTGTTAGCAGTGCAAGATAATATTAATGTGATTGTATTTATACAGTGCAAGGATGTACAGTGAGAAAAATAATTACTGAGATGCCGGTATCAAAAGCATGTTTCCCTTCTATATCTGCTGCATTTTCTTGTTTTCATATGTTTGTCTGCCATATTGGATTTTGAGATCAAGACTTGTTAGAACTGACAGTTTCTGTTTACTTTGGTGGTTATCGTAAAAAATATGTCAGTATTGTTACCTAATGAGATCAGTATGCTAAAGCCTTTCTTATTTTAGTTTTTAAAATCATTATAGGTTAGTCTTTTTAAAAATATTTTTATTAGGCAGATTTCAATAAGTGATGTGAATTTTGGGGGGGTTGGTCTTGGTGTTGTTGTATTTATTTTTGTATATGATGCAGTGTAGGATTGTAGGTTGTTTTACTAAAGCGACATCAATGATGTGATCCAATTATTAGTCATGACAGCTTAATCGATATCGGTTATCCATGTCAGCCCAATATTCATATGGGAGGACCCCCAATAAACATAATAGTGCTCTAAATTAATAATATTTATAGAAGTGAAACTGATATGAATCACAACAATGATGATATTAAAAATTATAACAAAATAAAGTGCCTAGTGATAAAAGATACAAATATTTGTTTGGGGAGCATTTTGGAAGGTGAAGGCTTGATTAGGACTGTAAACATTAGACTTTGATTCTGCATGTGGACAGTAACATGAGTATAAATAACAGTGCTGTGTAATTAAAACAAGGCCGTAATACAAAAACAATCATTTAATGGTGTTAGCTCTTTTCAACGTGAAGGATTTTCATATCACCTTTTATTAAACATTATGAACTGCATCTGGATTATTGGTGTTTTTATTAAATGGTGTTAACTGTGTGAATGTCTTGTGCTTTAAAGTTCCTGTATTCAAACTCTGTTATCTTGTTGTTGCACAGTGGGCCAACATGAGCTGACCAAGCACCAAGTGGCGGTGAAAATCTTGAACCGGCAGAAGATCCGCAGCTTGGACGTGGTGGGGAAAATCCGCCGGGAGATCCAGAACCTCAAGCTTTTCAGGCACCCTCACATAATTAAACTGTAAGTCCTAGATTACACACGGCTCATGGCCACCTAATCTCCCCACCGCCACATTAATGCCACCCACTGAACTATTTTCCGACTTTAGAAATAGTGCGTTGCAGAATGCAGCTGACATCATCTGACCCAGTCTCCTCTTCCATCAGCCGTCGCTGTTTAATGAGCTAAAACTGCATAACCACTGACCTCAGCCCTACTGGCTTTCTGACCTCTGGTCCTTGAATTAAGTAATCGCTAAATGTGCTTTCAGAAGAGCTACATTTTTCTCTCAAAGTATACTTTCTGAGGCGCCATCAATGTTGCTTGTCCTATTTGAAACGACTTGTGAAGTTCCTGATAACATTTGTACCTGCTAAAGTGGAAAGATGACTGATGTTTCAATGAGTCATATTACAGTTACTATCTGAGCTGACAGTGACTCTTACAAAGTCTTTCAGAGTATACTGCAGTTACACAACAGAATGATCCTTACCACCGTTGGACTGTCTAAAATATATTCTATTGAGTAATGTTCTCTTACAAATAAGTTAGTGTCACTGAGAGGAGCACTGATCTAAATACGACAAGGGAAATTGTTGCATTACTTCCTGCCTGCTCTGTAATGGTCTGCAGGCCACAGTTAGAGGGTTGTTAAATAGAGCACAAGGTGTGGCTAATGTCCTGAATACCAGGACCATGTCATGCATGCACAAGAATGTAAACTTTGTGTGGGGGATCTCAGAGAGAGGGAAAGATGCCATCTTTTTTCTGCTCTGTGTGGCCCGTTTAGTCTCCTAACAAATGCTGCAATGCAAAAGATCCCTTTTCCCTTATAGTTTGCTGGAATTTACTGCAGTTTTGCTTTGGATAGGGCAAGGAAACAATTGCACATTTCTGTTTTTTTGGAAAGTTGCCTGTTAACCCCCCCCCCGGGAAAAATACTTAAAATTATAACTAGGAATAGATACAAATTAATTCTCCCAAAATGTAACTGGATTTTTAACTATGTCATTTCATAATCAAAGTAGGTATGTACTTACTTGTTATATTATAAAATGTCAATTTCGATTATATTTATGTAGGAACATTAAATATAACTGGGAGTTCAAATGTTTTTATAATTAAAGGTTAAACTTTGCCTACTGATTTACACCTTTTTTGTGCGTGTGTTCGGAGAAGTGATTTAAGACGGTTGTAAAAAAGTGTGTTTTGACTTGCTGAGAACAAACGTCATATTTGCTTTTTTTTATTATGTTTATGTTTTAGAACCTCACCTTTGTTAACAGATTTCCATGGACTATAAATCGGTGTAATGATGAAAAAAGTCTACTTTTTAATCTTTTAATAAAAGTACTTTTCAATGTAATTAAACAGGATTGATATATTTCAGGGGGGGGGGGAACGACAAGATTAAGTTTAGTATTAAAAAAAGAAAATGGCAGAATACCATGGAGATGAACTCAGCATAACACTGAGAAAGTGAAGAGATGTCTGTGTTGAAAACTCAGCCAGCCGGCTGTGAATTGGTGTTAATGGTGGTGAGAAGATGTGAGGAGCCTCATTAGATCAGGTTTGCTTCTAACCGACGTGGATCAGGTCTGTGTTCCTGGACATCATAAGTGAATCCCAAAACATTTAGCCTCTGGCTTCAGAGATGCTTCCAGTTTAGGAACGTTGTCATTGAATATATGGAGGCAGAGAGAGAACTCTTCTGAATATTTGCTTTGAGCAACTGTGTTCAAGTAAGGTACTGCTTTAGATTTCAAGTTAAGTAACAATGTTACAAATATATGAAAAGTAATTAATTAGATTTCTGTTTAAATGAAAACCAGTCATAACTACGTTAAATGAAAATCAGTCATAACTACGTTATTAACTCAGAGACGGTTTATAGATGCCTTTTTCTGCAAAGTTACAGCTAGAAGGTTAAGGTCAAGAAAAGAATTAGGCTAAAGGAGATGCATTGTAAAGAGTTTCTGCTATAAATGCTGTTTGTTTTTGTTTTTTTTACTATAACTGTTTATTTTGCTGTTCTGGGAACTAAACACAGCTTCTTGTTAGAAATGATCACTAGCAGTTAAGAGAGAGAGGTGGATGCTTGTAGAGAACAAATTCATCAGTATCATAGTTCATGACCACAACACTGTGTGTGTGAGAACAGGTTACATTTGGGCGTACGGATGAGCCATATATCAGCCTTTATCTACAGTTAAACAATAACTGATAGCATCCCTGAAATGTAATCGACACATTATGACAAAGTCTTGCTGTTTGAGCTGCTTTGAAGCAGATCTGCTTCCCATCTGTTAATAACTTGTGTGATTTTGAATCTTTTTTTTTTTTTGTTATTGTTATTGTTGTAGGTATCAAGTTATTAGCACCCCTACAGATATCTTCATGGTCATGGAGTATGTCTCAGGGGGAGAGCTCTTCGATTACATCTGCAAAAACGGAAAGGTAATACATGATAATATTGGAGCTTTAGGTTAATGGCATGTATTTCCCATAGGTGGATAAAACTTATTTATTTGTGCCGGCTTTGACTGACGATAACCTGGTCCTTTCTAAATAATTAGCTGGAAGAGAAGGAGAGTCGGCGACTGTTCCAGCAGATTATATCGGCAGTAGATTACTGCCACAGGCACATGGTGGTACACCGAGACCTCAAACCCGAAAACGTGCTGCTCGATGCACACATGAATGCAAAGATTGCAGATTTCGGTAAGTACACTACACTTAGCTGGTGAGATAAAAGGCACCATGTTTGAGCATTTATCAGTATGGGAAAATAGTCATACATGATAAAATAGAGAAATGTTTTAATGTTCTGCAGCAGCTTCTAGTTTACTAGAAATGTAGATCATGTGTTTGTTGTCTGACAGTTGCAGGTGAGTATAAATGTTAAGCTAGAGTTTAAAGTGTCAAGAAACCACGCATAGGAAGGCGAATTCTTCTAGAAACAAAAGGGAGTGTAAAGATTGACTATTAATCAGAGAATGAAAATTAGAACATGTTTTAAACTCAAGGCTTAAGGATACTTAAACTTGATTTTTTTGTTCATGCATTTATTATATCTGTGACAGATTTAGTCTTGCTGCCAAAGAAAGGAATTTAGTTTCCATATAGGGAATTGAAGCTTTAGTTGTGATGGCTACAGCGAGGTCAGAAAAAACACTGGGAACTCACTACTTCTGTTTGGTGTTTTGGCAAAGAGATATAGAATTACTGTCTGGCATTAGAGAGATTAACATGAACTACAGGATGGGACACTACTTATTAGGAATTACACTTTAGATCTCAAGATAAAATTAGTATCTTTTAAATCCTTAAGTTGACTATTTTTATATTAACTGCAGATGTGCCTTTTACATTTCTTTCTTTTTCATGTGAAGTCACATTATGATCAAAGCCGTAACTCTTCCTTGTCCTTGCTAAAACAACTGGAGATGAAGGAGACTAGTTATGCTTATCAGTTTTATTTTTTTTATGAAATGGAGAAAACTATGTATAAGTGCTGTTTCCCTGCAAATGTTTACCCTTTTTTTTCACTGCTTTATCACCACTTGCAGCTTGTGGTCCTTAATGCCAACAGCTGTTTAATGCAGTAATAATTTGTCTGCAGGTCTGTCAAACATGATGTCAGATGGAGAGTTCCTGAGAACCAGTTGTGGTTCTCCGAACTATGCTGCTCCTGAAGTCATCTCAGGAAGGTTAATGGACTTCATCATTTCTCATTTGGAAAATTAGCCCAGAAAGTCAAACTTGACATTAACTTTTTTTTTTTCTCCCTTCAGATTATATGCCGGTCCGGAGGTGGATATATGGAGTAGTGGTGTCATTCTATATGCATTATTGTGCGGGACTCTCCCCTTCGATGACGATCACGTGCCAACGCTCTTTAAAAAGATCTGCGATGGGATCTTTTTCACCCCACAGTACCTGAACCCCTCAGTAGTAAGCCTCCTTAAACACATGCTGCAAGTGGACCCAATGAAAAGAGCAACCATTAAAGAGATCAGGTATACAAAAAAAATATATTAATCCATTTCCTTTACTCTGGCTCAAGGCTGAAAATAAAAACTTGTTTACCGTACCTCACTCCTGATTTGTTGTATATTTTACCACAGAGAGGATGATTGGTTCAAACAAGATCTGCCCAAGTACTTGTTTCCAGAGGATCCCTCCTACAGCAACAACATGATCGACGATGAGGCCTTGAAAGAGGTGTGTGAGAAGTTCGAGTGCACAGAAGAGGAGGTCCTCGCCTGCATTTACAGTCGGAACCACCAAGACCCGTTAGCCGTTGCCTACCATCTCATCATTGACAATCGACGCATCATGAGCGAAGCCAAGGATTTCTATCTGGCTTCTAGCCCTCCTGACAACTTTCTGGACGACGTGGCCGGAATCATCAAGCCTCACCCTGAGCGTTTGCCCGTCTTTGTGGCGGAGCCCCCTCCAAGGTCCCGCCACACGCTAGATGAACTGAACCCCCAGAAGTCCAAACACCAGGGCGTAAGGAGAGCCAAGTGGCATCTAGGGATCCGCAGTCAGAGCCGACCCAACGACATCATGACTGAAGTGTGTCGTGCAATGAAACAGCTGGACTATGAGTGGAAGGTGAATAACAGACATGTCCAGCATACACAGGTTTTAAACCCTGACTGTGTCATAGTTGTTTACATTTTTTTATTTTCCAGGTGGTTAATCCATATTATCTGCGTGTGAGGAGGAAGAATCCTATCACTGGAATGCAAACCAAGATGAGCCTTCAACTGTACCAGGTGGACAGCAGAACCTACCTCCTCGACTTCCGTAGCATAGATGGTACGTTCTTTCACTTTGCTCTATAAGAATCGGGGTATTTTTAGCTGTAGCCAATAATAATAAACACATAGATGTCTGTTAAACTGAATGTTGTAAATTAAATTCTTTCTGTTGCTAAAATCATTTCTAGTTTCATTCACAGATTTCTCTCCTATGTTCACTCTATTGGGCTTCACTCTTTTTGTTGTTTACAAAATGAAGCATATTTAGATTTGATGACAAGAAGGTTTCAAATAAAGCTGAAGTCGGTGGTTTTCTAATAACTGGAAAAAATACCTGTAAATGTCTGTAATACACAAAGTGACATTTTTACGTCCTCTCACGGTTCTTTGAGTTAAAAGCACTCTTTAGTTTTATGGATTCATTGGATGATAAACATCAATGGCAGGGTTTTTATCTCAGCCATTAAAACTTGAAGTAGAAAAGAATTGTTTGTAATTCTAAACATCTTTGCAAAACTTTAAAACTTTATTTAGAAAAACTAAAGGAAACTTTGTATTGTTGACCTTTAACACTGATGTTAAGTGTTTCCTTACTTATTAACTTTTTAAGACTTCGTACACCTTTATGGAAAATGTTTTTCCAAAGATCTGGCAGGAAGCTAACCCCCACTTAAAACTATTAATCTTTAGGTTCATCACTAAGTTGAATCATTTTTATTGAGCTAAATAACACGCCTGATTGTTTTTATCAAGTCGTATTGCAATAGTTTGATAACCGATTATCATATTTGGTTTTAAAGCATATAAGGATAGGGGAGGGCATATTTGTGCCCTAGATCTCTTAACTAGACTGGGACAGGGTTGTATGTGTGTGTTTTGTGTTTATCTGTCTCCTGTCCTGCAGTGTGCTGTTTTAGTGTATGCTTTATTAATGATTGACTCCGGAATGATGGCTCTTGGTTGTTTGTTTACAGACCTGGCTGTACTTTCAAAAGAAGATGTTAGATAGGAGTGTGTTTGTGGGCGAATTATGTTACCTCGGTGTGTTTAAAGGTTGGGAGGCTTCAGCTGACATGATTTGTTAGCCACGTTAAGCAGAACAATGCTATCAATCCCCCTAAATTTTTCTTTTTTAGGTTTTGCCAAATGAATTACAAACAACCGTGATGCCTCCCCTTAAGAACATTAGGGCTGCAACCAACGTTTATTTTGCAAATTGATTAATCTGTCAATTATTTTTTCCGTTATTGGATTGATAATCGGATGGCTAAAGCTTCCTTCAAGTAGGAACAAACCAGGCGAAACTAAAATTTTCCACCTGAGGAGGCTGGATAGAGCATATTGATAGACAAAAAATATTTTTTTATTGTAAATATAAAATGTTCTTATATTTGGTTGTACAATTTTGGTATAATTACTGCTCTACGTTTTGTCAGCTAAGTGGGGAAGTGGCAGCCTAGTGGTTAGGGCATAGGGCTTTGAATCCTGAGATTGGGAGTTCGATCACCCCACTTTGGGTCCCTGAGCAAGACCCTTAACCCCACACTGCTCCCCGGGCACCGCATAATGGCAGCCCACTGCTCCCCAAGGGGATGGGTTAAATGCAGAGATACATTTCTCCAATGTGAGATCAGTAATGTTCAATTTATTTATTTAAAGACAAGTTTAGAGTCTCTATACTCCATTTAATGATTAATTGGTTACAAAAAGTAGTTGACCATAATTTAAATAATCGATTCATCAGAATAATTGTTTCAGCCCTAAAGTATATAATAACTGCTACGGAAGCCACAACACGGAAATAAACTTTACTGTTGCATTTAATTAACGTTACGTGCTCAGCAGAAAGCCTGCAACCTCCATGTTTGATGTGAGTCGACGCTCCCTCATGAATGTCTCCACGTGGTTAAAGCTTCTCAAATCCATAGCTTATTTTTTTTCCTGGTTAATATTTCTTTTCTTGGTGAGTCTCTCTTCCCACTCGCTAGGCAAAGAATATAGACGATCCCCTGTTTCCACAGAAAACAGCGAGTAGAGTGATCTACGGTCACCTTAACTTGTTTTAAACTCTTCCACAGTTACAATACAGATATATATAGGTACAACGCATAACGCTAACAAATTTTGGCCCTTTTGGTTAACCGTAATCAAAGAAGGTGACTCAATGTGTCGTCTTTTACTTGGTACACAATCACCACCTATGCATTTATTAATAACTCATTCTAAGCTATGGAAATGCTTTCATTTTTTATGTGAATATTCGATTTTGGCAAAATGTGTATTTAAGAAAGCAACTCTTGCTTTTTATAATAAAAACCCAGTTACACACTTTCCCTTTAGATATTTTTTACTGGCTGCTGTTTGGGTTTTTATAAGAACACTTTTAGTAAAATGTGTTGCCATTTATTTTCGTTTATTGCCAAATAAACAGGAAATCATTTGGAACAATAAAAAGTTGAACCTTCACTAATACCTAAAGTTTTATTCTCTATACTTTCTACTCGGATATATGGAGGAAATGCATTAAAACCTAACCGAAAGTAAAGCATTGTTAATGCAAGTATATGCAGCTTTCAATACTTTGTGTATTAGTATTGGTATTAATATTAGTAAGTTTGTTTGTTTCGGAGAACGTTATAGCTTCTATAGGTTTTAGTTTATAGGCAAATCATTAAAAATGTATCAAACTGTTTATTTTTAACCAGGATTCAATATACTTTAATATCTTTGTTGTAACAGAATACTGTTTGCAGCTGCACCGTCGACACAGTTCATATAGGCATATTAGGTCAAATATGTTTATATAATAGACACTTGTGAGAACTGTTCAGGCTTCTTGGAGAATGTCCTATTTCTCAGGAAAACATTCGGACCACTTCCTGAATGAGGTGCCAGGGGATGGGAGGAAGGGGTTGGTATTGGTAGGGAGTACCCTGTGGGATTCAGCCAAAGAACCCCTTTATAGTTTGTTTTCTAAGATGAAGATCTCACAAATCCCCACACTGTGTTCCAGAAATTCACTGTCGTCTGTTCTTATCAGTATTTAAGATTGAAGTCTTGTTTTCTCAATAGATTACATTTTGTTTTAGCTTGTCTTATTCTAAGCACTCAATGCCAGCAAAGTGGGTATTTATTAGTCCGTATTCTCTGAGTCTTTGCTGAGTGTAGAATAATCGAGTAGGCTGTTTTTATTACGTATTCATTTTAGATTTTGAATCAGACGTTATCAAATTGTCCATATTTTTTAAAATGGCCCTTTCAGCTGTGTTTTGTTGAGGTATTGTAACGGTTTGTTTGTCAATGTTTATTTTCATCAAGCAACCAAATTGTTGCCAGGCAGACCATTAAATGTGGTTGGGGCCACTTCAGGGCTGATATAGCTGTGTGTTGTCAGCCCGCTCAAGGAAAAGTCTATAATTACTCGGTTTTGTTTAAATATAAAGGAGAGACTCAAGAACTTCATCCTTTCTTATTTCAAACCAAGATTTGTATTCATGGTCAGACCAAAATGGAGCTCAACCGACGCATGTTTTTTATTAAAGCTGATTCCTATTTTGTTGCTCAAGTCTCAGTTTAAACAAAAAAAGACTAGACTAAAGGCGATAGACAGTCAGTTTAATGGGAGATTGATCTATTGTGTTTCTAAACCAAGAATTTCTTTTACTGTTTAGATGATATGCTGGAGACTAAATCTGGGACTGCAACCCCTCTCCGTTCTGGTTCTGTGGGGAACTACCGCACCACAGTAAAGGGTGACGTAGAGGGAGCAGATGCTCCGGCCACGCCCAGCTCTGTGCAGCCCACCAAGACTGCTGAAGGCTCCTTAGGTTCCTCTCTGACCTCGTCCATCGACTCATCCGGAGGTGCGGACAACACGCCTACCCCAAGACCAGGGAGCCACACCATCGAGTTCTTCGAGATGTGCGCAAACCTTATTAAACTACTTGCACGATAGCTTGCAAAAACAATCATCGCTAGCCTTTTTTCTCTCTGAGTGTCTTTATAGCAATAAGCATGCAACCGATTCATGGCTCACTTCATCCAGACTGAGGATGAAGTGTTTGTTCCATGGCACTGATGCAGGTTGGCGTTCCCTGAGCTGTAAGGGAAGGTATACTGAGCTGACTGGTTTTGTAGGAGTTGAGGAAAGAGGAATTAATTGCTACTTAACTAGCTAGGACAGAACAACATTTCAGAGGGAAAGAGGGGGGGAAATTTCCAGATCAGTCCTCAACAACAGATGCCCACATCCCAAATACAACTATATGCGGAAGTGATTACACTGAACGGTCTGTACTGTATCCTGTAAGACCCAGTTGTCAGTACAGAGAACAAAATCTCGTTTTTTTTTTTTACCTGCAGAGGAGGAAGCCACGGATCGGTGTTAAGAACTGAGTGGCAGTCATAGGAGGCAGGAGGCACTTTTGCACAACTTTCTTTAATTTTTTCTGCTGCTTGTACTTTTTTTTTAAGCTCTTCTTAAGGATCAGAGAAGTGTTGCAGGTGTAATGGGGAACTGCACTATTACAAGCCCATCCCATTCAAACAGACCCCCCTGTAAAGTGCTGTGACCTCTGCCGCTCTGCAGTGTGTCAGGGACAAAAAGGATGCTTTATCAGATTTACTTTGGGTTTTCATGTTTCTGTCAAAGACCTAACTGTTCATGGTTTTGTCCTCATTGTAAATTGTTTGGATTTGTTCTTCCCCTGCATTTTTATATATGAAGATATAAGCATATTTATCAATGCATTACGTTGAGGAAGTTTTGGTTGTAAAAGAATTAGATTTTTTTTTTTTTTTTGCATTAATTTCTATTGCTGGATATTATATAAGCATATATTCTTTTTTTTTTTTTTATTACTGTTTTTACGTCTGTCGATTTTGTTGCCCTCAATCACAATTATTCTGATACTTGATTGTCTTTGTAAATAACTAGCCTGCTTTTCCAATTTAAGAGGAGTTTTTTATGACACAGAATCTAGAAATATATCCTTTTAAGTGTCATGTAGTAGGTGGACATATTGATTTTGACTTTTATGTTATATTTTCTCTGTTCAGGATAAAGTGTTGGATATGAGTGTGATTACTGAGTGAAATGCCTTTGGCCTACATCCATTTCAAAAAATGCCAACCAGTCAAATATACAGACCTCAAGGCCTCCTTTTAAACCAATCGTAGCAGTTGTATCTGATGTGTTGGGAGTTTGTGCATTGGTGAATACAAATGAAAATATTTAGTTTCACATGATTATTTTTTAATTGCTCTCACATTCCTTTGAAAGTTGACATTTTAATTCCAGTCTTGTCTTGAATCTATTTAGTACTGTAAATCATGAGGGACAGAAAATTTCCGGTTAAGATGGACAACTTGAAAGTTTTCTATTTGATTATTGTCTGGACATTAAAATTCCAGACTCAAAAGTCCAAGATATGTCTTAAATTAGAACACATCTCATTCCAGTTCCTGTTCATCGTCTTAAAGTTATAATCAATCATTGATTGGCAGCCTTATCCTTATTCTTATTAGTACTGTTCATCAGTTTTATGCTAGAAATATGATTTCAGTGCTGGTCAGGAATATTGGCAACTTTTGCCATTTTAAAGGTTGATTTTTCACAACATATTTTGGTGTTATATCAACAGAACACACTTAAATCTGGTTTTGAAGAACTAAACACCAAGAAAAGACCTTTAATGGTTTTTATTTTTTTTATAAAAACTCCCCAACCTAAGCTTGAGATATTGGAGTTTAGCTTTATACAATGTAAAAGCATCTCGATTAAATGTAAAACCTGTTTAGATTTCAAATGATGAATAAAACTGCAGAGTTTGACCATTTTGATCACGTTCTCTCATGATAAATAGAATGTTTTCACCCAAAACATGCAGTTAATTGACCTTGAGGTCTCTGTTTTTAAGTTGATTTAAAAAAGAAAAAAAGGGTAAAGACTCAAACTTAATGGTGTTGTAGACATGGTGTAAAATATTCATTCTTAAAGGGTTTCTTGCAAGTCTAGATAACCAAAACTTGTCATGCCTTACATGATGGGTTTTGCTTGAGAGTTGAATGTTTGCAAAAAAATGTTAACTCCTTGAGAGATTATGGAAAGTGTCCTAGAAGTCTGTTCAAGTCAGTGGCTGGTTGAACCTCTTCAAAATGTTGCTCTTTTTTGTTTGGTGTGAAGGGGGACCCCACCAGATGGAGCATTGTAAATCTGAATGGAAAGTGGTGAATCATTTGTACACGCAACTGGCTAATAAACTGCTAATAAATTAAAGACTATTGTTTTTAAGTTTTCTTATTTAGCCCGTCTAAATATGTTTTATGAAAATTCACTCTCTTTTGGCCAAGTGAATGTAGAACAAATCGGGATTATATTTACAATAAGGCTCTACAAAATATTTTTATGTTTTTATATATCAAAGTTTGTACACATTATAGCTATTCAAGGTTTTAGGAGAATAAATTAGTTATAAAAAGTTGTTAAAAATATTGCTTTTAGGTCTATCCAAAAATATATATGAGGAAAAAAATATTCATTTTAAATTAATCTAAAATTAAGAAAATGGTACAACCAAAAATACAAAGTTCAACCATTTGGCCTTTATATCTAAAAGCTGGTTTTATTTTGAAATATGATGTAATCAGCTTCCGGGTGATGCTCCCTTTAAGTGTTTTTGCTTAATCGGGGGAACTTGTAAAAGAGCCCTTGGAGCTCATTATTTAAAAAAGAAAAAAAAAAACGATATTTCTCTCGATGGTCTGCCTTTATTCTTAAATCAGTTTATGGGGATTTATTCTACTCTACCGGTTCTTAGCAAATAAAAAATTTGGAATAACGAAAAACCGTTTGACTTTAGACAAATGGCAGGACACTTGTGGGTTTATGGTTTAGATGATGTTTCTTATTTGTAATTACTTTTTTTTTTTTTTTAGATCACATGGCTGCATTTGTAACTGCTGGCTATACTCAGAATATATTTAGCCATTAAAACTTTAGTTCAGCCGTAGAAATGTTTCCAAAATCCTGGTTTTACAGTGTACATTGAACGCACCTTTAGGTTGAAAACAATGGCGGACGACTAAATTTAGCGTATTCTTACATATGGTAAAGCTGTAAATGTATGTGTATTTACAGTCTCTCTCTAATTATCTGGTTAATATTTGTAATGATGTTTTAAAGTCCAGTAAAAAATAAAGTGGAATATGTTAAGCAAACTTTATTGTGTCGGAAACGTAACACAGGTGCTGATGCTAACTCTAGCTAGCAACGTTCCACCTTTTAACGTTTTAGAGCTATAAAGCAATCATTTATATGTAATATCTGTTTAGATAAGTTCTGTTTATAAGGGACAGTATCCTTCGTTGGTGTCATACCGTAGTAGGTTTGTTTAACCAGTGTTTCACAATAAAAGCCCGGTGTTTTTCTTGCAGAATGGCCTCATTTGGCTGGAAGAGGAAGATTGGGGAGAGGGTTTCAAAGTCAGTGGTTGAGCAGTTTGAGGCCGAAGAGGAGAGAAGTGAAGGTAACAGTGAGGTCGATCGGGATGAGGAGGTGGACTGGCTGCACGCCATCAAACGGAAGAAGGAGATCCTGCTGGAGGACTGTGCTGCGAAGAGCATGAGGCTGAAAGAGGAAGGGACCAGGCTGGCTGAGGAGGGCAGGTGAGGCAACCTGTCACTGTTTTTAAAGCATCACACAGTCAGGGATATTGATAGTAAGGAGAAAATTAAACACAAGACCCAAAAATCAGACAAAATTTAGTTTAAATACAAAAATCGAACATAAAAATAATCGAATTGAAATCGACTGATCAATTTTATTTAAAATCTCTCTTACATCTTTTAGGGTTGTAGCGGCTTACAGATGTTTACCCCAACTAAGAGTTTAAAAGATCCTTTTATTCACTACCAATAAAAACAGGTGCATGCAAATATGGCATTAGTAGGCAAAAGTGACAAAAGTACAAACAGGGAAAATGCCAAAAGTATAACAAAGTGTGATGGGGGTGCAGATCTGTTAGACGTTTAATCTACTATTTATTTTATTACAGTTTATTCTGGTAAGGTTGTACAGGCGGATTTAGATTTCCAGTTTTTATTTAGGTCTGCTAAATTTTGTAAACCATAAAGGTGATGTTTGGTAGAGGAATATGGAATTTGAAGATGGAGTGAATTAAGTGGAATTAAAGGTTATTTTTTAATTTTCTATAGAATTGTTTCTCAGTGCAACAACTTCTTACCAAAACCAAAACATTCTCTCTGAGAAAGCTCTCTATTTGAAAGTGAGGTAAGCTGTGGTATCATTAAATTCTGGGTAAGCAAAAACAAATTAAACTGTGCTTTGTGTGATTTATTAAAGTTTGATTTAGACCACACGTTCCTCTCAAAGCAGTCTTTTTTAATTAAAAATTAATGCAAATTAGAACATATGTGTTACAATAGAAAATAATATAAATGTAATTTAGGATTAAGAAAAAGGTTTAAAAATAATGATGCTTGTTCTTCTTGAGCATTAGAGATTATGGGGTATGTTTAGTCCACAGAATTATTCAGCAAATAAATGGATTGGATAGTGTCCCTGCAGGATACTAAAGAAGAAGCTGATTGTAAGAACTAAAAAACAAATCTGATAGGGACACATTGCAGTTATGAAATCCTAAAAATAAAGAATATTTGCAATATTCATTTTTATTCCAGCTTTTTCTGAGGAATGTTAAAGCTTTTTTACTTTAATATCTCTGAAGATTGAAAAGAAAACTGATCAACACATTTTTTTTTTATGTCTAAAAGACAAATATTTTGCACAACAAAATCTAAAAAAAATGTCCTGTATGTATTACATGTGTTTTTAAAAGATGTAGTAATGAATACACATTTCCCAATGATTCTCTATAATGATTTAACAGGCCCAAAAGTTGCTTGGCATTGCTACCACCAGTTGTCCAGAAGAGGGCAGCATTGCATACAGCTTACATTTCAACTGTCTCACAAAAAAACAAACAAACAAAACTTAAAATGCAAAAAAGCTAAAAATTTGTGTTTGAACAACTAAAGCATTTGTTTTTCCAGTTTTCTAGTGAATAAATGTTGCGATTAAAATTTATGCAAATAATTCTTCATTTTTTTTTTTATAACTTTGAATAACAAATGTAGAAGTCTCTTGATTGTCGGTGTGATTTTAACATGTTGTACCTGTTGACCTTTTCAATCAAAGCACATTGACAAACCCTGTTTGTGCAGAGGACGTGATGTTGTGGCCTTTAGCTACTGCCTGTAATCCTGTTTTCCTGGAGAAAGTGGATTTTGCTTGGAAATGATGCCATGGTCGTGCCGCGTAATGGGTGCTTAGAGAGTTGAGGTGGTGTCTGGTCATGGAGATTGGTGAAGGGGCGTTTTGTCTCTAACAATATTGACCTTTGATTTGAGTTTCTTATTACAGGCGTTTGGATGCTTCAGATGTAACCGACGAGCTCCTCCGTTCTGCCTTTGATCATAGCCTGTTCATTGGTGAAGGTGTGATTCTACCTGTGGATGTCTTTACTGCCAACACATTGTCAATATTTTACTAGATTAAATATGACTGTTTTATAACAGCTGTTTTTTTTTTTATTTGTTGGGCATCGTAAACTTTTAACATAATGCTGTGGAAAACCCCCCCCCCCCTCACATTTATAACTTAATATGCTGCCATATATTATTAACATATGATTCACAGCCTTCCTCAATATATTTATACTGTTTACTCATTTCTTTGACTTACACTTGTCAACCTGTGGGATTTTCTTTCTCCAGATAAAATGGTTTAATTGGTCATTTCTAACATCCTCTGGTTTTTGTAAGTTGTTAACATTGTTTTTAAGTTTGAAAAAGTTATTTATTATGATATATTTTTGAATAAATAGATGGGAAGATGTTGTTCTTAATTCAAAAGTCTCGCCTCTGTTTTAAAGACACAACTAAACAAAAATGTTTAAATCATGAATTCAGATTTGATTTTAAATTGTTTCCTTTGCTATAGTCAATTATCAGGTGTTTAAAATTGTGTTAATGGCTAAATCTAAATAATGATTTGATCATTTCAATATTATCGTTCCAAGAAGAACAACATGATCCTTCTGATTTGAAATATTGGTCAAATTTTAGACAGTCGCCCCCAGAATCTCATCTGATGCTGTTTTTTTTTTTTTTTTTAAAGCCGAATTTCCTTAATAAGAATGATTTTTTGCTGTATTTACCCCAACATATTCCCAAGCAGCCATATTCTTTTTTTCTACGAGTGTTTGAGAACTTAGCCCCCTTTCTTTTTTTCCAGCCGAGCAACAATGTAAAGCCAAAGGTGAAGAACGCTATTCTGTTCACCGTACTGTGGAATAAATAAAACTGACGCTTTCTTTATGATTCTGTTAAACTGACTTAAATGTTTTCCCCCTCCCCAGGGCTTTGATACCTGTTACCCTTTCCCGACTTATATCGTGTTAGAAGCGCTTCTCTTTTCTCAGATTGTTGTATCGAATGGTCCCAGCTTTCCATTCCTCTGCTGTTCTCAGCATTTAGACAAACTGCTAAGCTCCTGTTTATCTGTTATCTTAAACTTCACATGTTTTTGTTTACATGGTTGAGAAAAATAGAAGTTATTGCTCTCTTTGCAGTCCCGTTTCTCTAACCCGTCTTTAACCGATAGACAAAGATAGAAAGATTCATCATAGAAGGCTTGTTTGGCTCCTTGGCTCATGTGTCTGATTGCCTAATTTTCTACTTTGCCTCATGCAGTTGAAAGATTTCCACACTTCCTCAGTTCCTTCTTTACTCAGTTAGCTCTTCTGATAATAACACGACTGGTATATTTCATGATTCATAATTTAAGTCACCCAATCATGATTAACTGCCTCGTTTTGTGGCCTTAATTGGTTTTGAATTTTTAAGGTTCTCCATCTAATGTAATCTGTAAAAGCTGCTGACATGAAATTAGGAAGGTCGAACTTATGACTCCACCTCAGCCTTTGTTCGCGGGTTGGGAAACTTGTTTTGAGTCAATATTGACCATGAGGTGACGGTTTTCATAGATTCATGTCAATTTAGCATGTTCAAAGAGTAAATATGTGCTAGAAGAGCAAATGTATGCAAAGCAGTGGTTATAGCTGCTCAGATTGAGAGGAGTTTATGTACCCTATAAACAAATTCATGTAAATCCTCTTTATTTATTTTCTGAGTAGCTCAAATTGAAACCGGTAGTTAACCTTAACACCTTGCAGGCTCTGATTTGCAGCCTGTGTTTAACAGCAGGGAGCTTTCTGTTTATTTAAGTCTCTTATGCTGTCAGACCGTTGGACAGGTGCTGTGGAGGAAGCCTGTTGGGTTTTTTTTTTTATTCAAAAGGTCCACAGAGCAAATTGTTCTGGGAATTGTTTGACTTTTTTAGATCTACCTATGGTCAAGCAGTGAGTTCTTGGAAATCTTGAAGGAGATATAAATGAGGCACAGAATATATATATATATAAAAAAGATCTGCTCTAGAGAGAGGATAAAATTAAACTGAAACATGACTCAGACAAGTTTAACAAATGTCTGTTTGCAGAAATAATCAGGAAAAATCACGTCCTTAAATCCACAAAGCAAACCCTGTTTTAGTTAAATAACTTGTGTAACATCTGTCAGCAATGACTGTATAACTTTACAAAACAAAGTTATGAAAACATAATTTAAGCACCCTGCTGGTGTAGAACAGTCATACTGTAGTTATGAGTAGTCATAACCATGTGTCTGTTTTTTTTAGGCACTGGGAGGCCATAAAGAAGTGGGATGAGGCTATTCAGCTGACTCCAGACAACTCACTGCTGTACGAAATGAAATCTCAGGTATAAAGTTTCCAACTCATTAATTTCTCTGTGATTGCCTTGCAAATTTCTTGTCTTTTTTTAGATTCTGCCACATCCCAGTAATGATATATTATAGAAACACACAATGAAGATTTAACTACCTTAGTTATTACTTTTTAACCAGCTTTATGTGTTTACCTTTTAATATTCTCCAAACTTAAGCTGTCAGATCGGTAGGAAAGGCTCTATAAAAAGTTATTGTCCTGCTAGAAGGAGAACCTTTGGCCTCATCCAAAATGTTTTGCACTTTTTAGAAGTTTTTTTTCAGGATTACTTATTTTCCAGTTTCTTTCTCTGCTGAAGAACAGTTTCTCACAGCATGATGCTGCCCTCACCATGTGTTACAGTGGAGATGGGGCCTTGAATGCAGATCAGAAAGTTTGCTTCTTATTAAAGGTTCCCTGTCCCTGGGGTGCCACTGAAAGCAGATCACGTAATGTTTTTATCGTCACACAGTAGTAGTATATGAATGTAGGCCTTAAATAGAGCAATAAAGTGTTTTTTTGGGCAATAGAACCGGTGTCATGCATGGTTGCTCTTTATCTGATCACACTACCTTTCAGACCGAGCCTTTTTCCTTTCTGGTGTTCTCTTTATAAAACGGTGAGTCATGCCGTATAAAATGGTGTTTTTCCACCTCCAAAATAAACACTTCATTGTCCAAGGTGTCGTATGAAATCAGATTCTCCTGTGGTTCTGTACTCAAGCTGCAGGTCATGTTGTTTTAATGTTTCAGAGTAAAATTCGATCCACAGTCAGACATGTACGGTTTCATTTGAACTCCACTGGATCCACTTTGCTTCTTAGCAACTGACTTCCTCTCTGAACGATCTGTTGTACTCCATATTGATGAGGACTCCAAGCGTTAATACATAGACCTGCAGCTTATTTTAGATCTTCTGGGGCACTTCAAGGATGCTCCGTGGTTTCCCTGGGTTGAACCACGCTGATTGACTGAAGTGGTTGCGATCAACCGCGGTGGGGATACTCTGCGGACGATCCACAGCGTTAACGTTTTCGATAAATCCCTGAAGTTAGTTTGGGTGTTAAGTCATGGACACGTTTGTCACATTGCATCTTAATTAGGGTGCTGTTTTAGGTCTGAGTACATATGAACATCAGCCTATTTTAGATTTATATACCGGGTATATATTTTTTAGTTATAATGTTTTTGTCCATTACTTAAAATCCAAATCAGGAGGTATTAGTACTCTTGTTCTCATATCATTTGTAAATTAAAAACCTGAAACTTCCCCAAACCTGCATGGAAAAGCTTTAAGAAATGTGTTTTTCTTTGCCATCACCTCATGAAGCTGAGGATTAAAGCTGGTTGCTAACAGCCACTCTCCCGGACGCCTCAGTCTTGAATCTATTTCTCCTTCTTATTTCAGTTGCGTGATTAAAAAAGCCAGCATGTCTCTACTCAGCAGAACAGTACTGATGTTCAAGGGTGGAGTCTGGCAAAACTGAGCTCTTCCCGTTATTTATCCATTTACTATAACTAATACAATATAAGCTAACACAATAAACCCTCTCATGGTAACCATCGTCCTTCTCATCACATTGAGTATTCCATGCCTAATATGATATTGTCCATTACAGGAAATTTGAGAAGGAAATCATTAGAGGAGCAGGTCTGGAAAAAAGTCTTCCCCAAACAGTTTTCGTGTTTCGATTTTTTATTTTTTTTTTCATCTCATGCCACGAAGACTTTACACACAAACCGTACTCAGATTACTTAGTCTATTACAGGGTTCTTATGTATATGGAGCACAGCTCCTCTTACTCTTCTTGATCATTTTGCATCCATGAAAGGAAAAAAAAAAAGAGACGACACACTTTAGATCCACATCATTGCTCAGAAGACATGTGCTGATGATGCTAATGCTTTTCTTCCTTTCAATGCTCTGTGCCACCTTAATTTGATAATTATTTAGCCCAGCACATCCGACTTCCTGGGTGTCCAAAGCTGGCATCATCTGTACAAATTTCCCCTCCTTGCAAATGTAAATGTATCCATCATAAAAGGGACCCTGCTTTTTGTTAGTAGTAATTTGAGATATTCTAATTTTGGTGTATTATAACTGGTTTTACTTTGATTTCAGAGTAAGCGTAAGTAACACTGATGCAGTAATGGTTGAAAACCATTATATTAGGGTTTAAGTTTTCAATAGGTAATAAAAATATTCTCCGCTGCAATAAAAAAGGAAAAATTAAATGCTACTTTATCTTTACTAAATCATACTAATTTAACACTCAATGTAAAGTTTTATTTCTTCTATAGAATTCTGGACGGGAAAAGCAGCCTTTATGTTTCTAATCAAATACAGTTTCTTAAAGGTATAGTGGAGGATTTTTTTTTAAAAAATGCACATGCACAACCCTGTTACCCGCTCCAGGCAATCTCTATTATACGCGGGCGAGAGCATGCAGCAACCTATTTTCTCCTCATGCTTTCTCTGTTTAAAAGTTGCTGTTTGAATCGCTCATACAAGCTTACTTTCCAAAGAAGATTTGTAATTTTTCCACTATGTCAGACTCTCCACCGGTAAGTGAAAATGGGTTTTGAGCACCTAAGACAGCCTTACGTAAACATATCACCAGAATGATTGACAATTAGGAGGACCACTTATTTTGATGNTGATGAGACGTTTCATTTCCCCATTTGGTTTATTTGAGTTTAGTGGCGTTGCTGTAGAGGCTGTTAGGATCGATGTTTTCTTCTCTTTTCCGTTTAATGTTGACAACAGAATAAGTCACAGTGTCTTCATCTTGTGTGACCTGCAGCACATGAACGGCAAACTGTTTCAGTTCCAGTTAAAGGTTTTACTCTTGCATGTGGTCATTTTAGAGTTTTTGAACCGCAAAACATGCAACACACTTAGTCTGGTACACATTCACATTATTCTATTAGTTTAAGATGTTCAAATAAAATAATGCTCCTCTTCAAAAATAGGAAACAACAGAACTTTGGAACCTTAAGTTCAGCAATTTAAAATAAAACGATCAATGAACTCAGCCTTTAACCTGCAGTTTAGATGAAGTTAGTGTCATTCTTTGGCATCACAGGGTTAATAGTCAAGCTAATTTAAGATGGGATTGTTATAAATCTTCCATACTTGTTGGGTCTCTTACCTTTTTTCTCTGTGTAGTTCTGGGATTGAAACTCTTAGCAGTGGTGTAGGTCAGGTTGGACTGCTCTTTATCCTGAAAACAAAGTGACAAACCTTTATCCACAGTTACTTTATGGAAAATAGATATAAAGACCCAGATCAACAGTCACGTGACTTTTCATGTGTATTTTAAGGCCCATTTTATTGTGTTGTGTTGGTTTGCCAACAATGGACCAATCTCAGGATATAAGTAGAGACAAAGACATCAGAGACACAATTTATGGCCAGACATTGTTTCCAATATCAGAAAAAATGTTCAGAACATGGAATACTTTCCATTTCCTGTTTATAAATTAAATTCTATAAAAGTTGTTAGAAGAACTGGCTAGACCTTTTAACACTGAGCTCAGTTGATGCTGCATTTGGTCCATGTGTTCATCTGGCTATTTCTTTGGAGGATAAATCAAAGGTCAACACCAATAAATCACCACCTTGATAACAGCTATCCCTCCTTCTTGATTGGCTGCTTGACAACAATCTGCATGCTCTGCAAAGAAAGCATCCTTTGGGACGGTAGAGTAAAGTGGCGTTATGCCCCAAATTACAGCTCTGCATCTATGCAGGTAAATCAAGCTAAATCCCGGAATACAGCTCACCAACCTGCAACCACTGATCTCATCTGCAGCTCTGAGGAGGTGATCATCATAATCAGCTTTTGTTAACAGAAGATGTCTTACTAAAAAAACACCTAAACTCTATATTCCCTTTTCAGTTAATAAAAGTTGGATTTTATGTCCCTGACAGAGTCCTGGATTCATGCTGGTTACTTAACTCTGAACATTGGCTTCTTCAGCTCCCTTAGACTCCATGTGAAGGTGAAGGAGTGGCTGTTTTTTTTTATTTTTTTTATTATTTTTTTATTTATTTGAATAGGGACAATGCACATTAATGAACATAAGTATAAAAACAAATGTAAATATGCCAGATTATAGCAACAAATCTAGTTTTTATCCGTAGTCCCTAGGCAGGCAAATGCATAAGAAAGAACATATAATATACAATATAAGCATCACAAGGAAATGTTAAGAGTTTAGTGGTCACATGACTGGTTTGTTTTCATCCATAGTTTGAGTTGAGCTCCAAAGCTGATCAGTGTAGGTTCTGCAGATTATTATGATTTAGAACAGTTCACAATTTTTCAAAAATTTCTATTATCCAAGTTATACATGGTTTTAAATGAGCTATTATTAAAGATTTATCCTTATAATTAATCATATAAAAAAAAAAAAAATCCACTGGACTTTGTTTCCAAGTTTGAGTTTTGCTTTCCAATCAAGAAATTTTTTCAATTCAAAATGTCACAAATAGCGTAGAGTTCCAGGCTTTATAGAGTGGACCAAAAGCAAAGCTTGTTTTTGTTTCAAAAACATGCAAATTGAACCGAACAAACGGGTCTGCCCCATAGGGATGGGAGTCATTTGGATGTTTTGTTAACAACCCCTTATACCAGATACCTGTCTATGTCTCTGAGAGGGGGTCATTAGAGGGAATTGTTGGACTGGCTGAACAGGGGGGGTCTTCCGTGCCCCTGTAAAGGGGTGGAGGTTGTGATGATAGAGGGAAGGAATCAACTCTATCGCTGCATTGTAGGATTTTGAAACCTCAAATCTCAGTCCTCCCCCTCTGTTTAAGGTTGGTTTTCTTTCTTCACATAAATGTCTTCCTTCACGCCCCTCTCAAACCACCTGTCTTCTTTGTCCAAAATGTGAACATTGTGTTCCTTAAAAGAATGTCCTTTGTCCATAAGTTGTAGATGTAGGAGGTTGCTCCTCCAGACAAGGAGGAACAAGACTCTGCATATATCTAAATATCATCCTTTTCATAACAAGCTAGATTCTTTCTTAGGGTTTTATTCATAGCTTTTTCAGGTTTCCATCAGCTGTCTGTAATTGTTTTCATTAACTGTGCTCTGACAACCTTCACAGCCTTTCTGCAGGGTTTGATTTAGTGAGAGGAACTTTTTTCTAACCAGAACAGGGCAGAACATTGAGGCACACTTGAATACTTTTTCCAATTGTTGAAAAACACTGTCATTGTTTTTCCCCGGGTCCGTTAATTCGAGTGCAGGTAACTAAACTGAGATGGAGTGTTATGAAAAAAATTCTGGACTACGAAGCTTCGATTCGCCTTTGCAAAGGGAGAGGAGCATCGGCAGCACGCATCTGCGAACAGCAACTCTGACCCCCTCCTGTAACACCGGCTCTTTTTATTATCTTGATAGGGGAAAATCTTACAATTTCACTCACAGTCCCACAGAATGATCATACTCCCTACTTCCTATCTCCAAATACTGAGTTGCTTCCTGCCTTTCTGCTTTTACCTTCTTAATCAGCATTTTCTGCGTGTGTCAGAGCAAGGTCATTCTACTCACTTATCTACAGATTTCATCCTCCCCTCTGTGAGTTTTGGCCTCACACCTGGGAATAGTAAATTTGCTGCTTATCCTTAAATTATACATGGCATATACAGGTAAAAGCCAGTAAATTAGAATATTTTGAAAAACTTGATTTATTTCAGTAATTGCATTCAAA